GCCAACACCGGTCTTCCAAATGAAAAAAAATAATCCGGTGTGTCAACTCACACGACTTTCCTACCTATTTCAGAAAAGTGTTCATAAATTTGCATACGTCCATCAAGAAACAAAAAAATTGAATTAGATTTATTTTCCTGAAAATTAATCAAAGAAACGATTCGAGTACGATTTGCTACGTTTTGGGGTGTTGGATTTTATTCGGGATGCCACCGGATTGAGGATAATTACGCAGAAATGTTTAATAAAAATCAATAATGAAAGATTAGTCAAAGAAATTTGGATCTATATTATATTGATTGGTCGAGAATTAATCAATGGGATTTCTTTTCTCAAAGTCTGGTTTGTGTTTATCATACTTTCTATTTACCTACATTACCTGTCATCATCATGACATAAATGGGTGTCAGAATTAAAATAACTTTTACCAATAAACTAAATAAACTAAAAAAAGGAACTTAATTTATTTCCATGTTAAATTTATTTACAAGAAACTGAATACGTGATTCAATGAATTTAATAATAAATTGTGAAGGTATGATTTCAGATGGGCTGTTTTGAAAATTATGTTGCCATGGAATATTCTAACATTGGTACATTTATTGTTGGGAATAACACTTATATATGAAGTGGTGTGGTTGATAGATTTCATCACTGCATCTTCCAAGTTGAGATCATCTCGTAATGGTTCAAAGCTCTGCCAGGAACATCGTGGTCTATGTAGGGTCAAGGCTTTAGCCCGCAAGCCAGAAGAAAATATAAGACCCATCCTCATGGCCGGAACTCAATCTAAGACCTATCCTCAAGGCCGGACATCATCATAAGAACTCTTTTCTTACTTCGCGGTGTATTATATACAAATATTCAGGGTGGGGCAAGGATAGTTTTCATTGGTTCTTAACCTCACCCTATTACTCCACAATAACTGGTAACACCCTAAAAGGAACCAGTTACTTAGCCCGTTACTAGTTTTTACTTTAAGCCTTCCCCAGGGTCCAGGTACAGGTCGGTCCTTATCTACCTACTCTCTACCCTTGACGCTGTTTTTGATGTCAGAAGTTGGTTTCATTCAACTTTGCTATTGTCCAATATATATCAGATTTATTTGTTAAACTAAAGCAATGTAAACCGACTTAAGGTCAATGTAAAAATTTCAATACTCTCTAATATTGCTGATCACAAGCTTTTTGCAATAGCGTAATTTCATCAAATAATAATTTCTTTTAAAAGTAGAGGAAATAGTGAAGCTTGTGTAATGGGAGCAACAGGTTTTCTTACTTTCAATTAGTTATCTTTTTTCTCTCATTCGCCCCTTTCTGACACCAGGATATGAACACGTAATCTTACTTTCGAATTTGAATATCTGTAACTTCATTATAGTTGTTCAAAATGAACGATTTTTATAAATTTTGTTGGGAATTTAATTACCTTTCAAAAGTTTTAAAATTTACCATACAATATATACTTAGCGAGTTAGGCCCCAAAACTTTTTTCTTTTCTTTATAACTTTTTTTCCGGGAATTCACTTCATATCCAAAAATTGAAAAGACAATTATTAGAACATTATAGGAAAGGTTCATCAAAAAACGTTAGAGCCGTTTTCGCGCTACATTCTATAGAAAAGCATGTTTTTCATTTACTGCGCAGCAGCTATTCCGCATGGAGCATCCAATTTGTGTCACAAAATCGGTTCACTAGTTCCCGAGAACATCTTGATAGAGACAGACAGACCAACGGCTAAAAATATGTTTTTCGGACTGAGGGGGCTCTGAAACGTATAGATTTCGGAAATTTGACGCTATCGCAATACTTAACTTATCCAGTATTGGTAGGAAAGTAAAAATGGTATAGTGTGAGCATCATGCAACTTCCAATTGGTTCCCTTCTAAAGGAAATAAATGTCTACTTAAATAGAACTACTTAATATTTAACTAGTTGAATCTATTATCGTGTATATAATGTTGTGTCACAGTTAATGACCAAATACTAAATATATGCAAGCCGATACTGGCCTCTACAGGTTTCAGAGAGTGGAAACTTTTGAGAAATGGTTAATCGATGTATAACAGGAATTCAATAGGCGAATCAATGCTGCCAATAGATTCTTCCACGATCTGTCCAAGCATTTCAAGACCAATAATCTTTCCTCCAGTACAGAAATCAACCGTTACATGACATAGGTATACCTGGTACTCATCACTGGGTCAGAAACCTGAGTAACTACCGAGACTAAAATAGAATCCAGTCATTTTTTTTTTTAACATAAGTGTTTTTTACAAGTTCCTATCAACGATCTTGAAAGTTTTAAATGATATTTCAAATCTGTTGTTATTTTTTGGGTTTTAACTAGGCGTAAAACATCGATATCCTTAACGCCTGCGTTTAGTTTTGTTTTTCGCTGAGCTGTAAGTATTTAGATTTTAAATTTTGTTTAAGATATTGTTAAATTTTAAAAAGCTCAACACTAACTGTACTGTGAGTCTGAAACTGGGAAATTTGAGATATAGAAAGAACATTCTTGAAAAATGTAAGTGTACTATTACAATATTGGCATTTTGTAGGTGGCTGTTTACTAATGAGATGCGAGTGGGTCAGATTTATATGGTCTATCCTCATTCTGGTTAAGATAACCTCTTCTCTGCGGATAGTACAGTTTGATGATGACCATGGCTTTACTGTTTTTTTAATACCTTTTAGTTTGCTTGGTGGACTGATATTTCAAAGTTTTTGCACTTGTGCGTATCTGTTTTAATGATTTAGCTCATATTTGTCTTGAAAATGGTATGAAACTTCAACATTTTGAGCCGAAATTCGATGAAACATTTTTCATTGATTATACTGACTTGCAAATATTAATAATCATTTATTAACATGAGTGATCCATTTTATATATCCAATAAAAAAAAAAAGACAATACAGTCAATAAATTTGAAAACAGTGGAGATAAAAATCTAACTTATAAAATTAAACAATTTTATCTCGAATTATTTTTAAAATAACAATATCAACAGACATTATTTTCTTGCAAAATCTACTACAATCTAAAATATAAATTATTAAGACTATTTAAACATGTTTATTGATATTTAAATATGAAAACGGACATACACCTTATTCCTTTTAATAATACCTTTATTATTTACCATTACTACCACATTGAAATTTGAATATTATTAAAACATTATACATTTGTGAGAAAAGTGCTAAAAGCTATGTTTATAAATAAAACTCATAACAGGCATAGTACTGGGTTATTCTCCTTAGTAAACGTGACACATTGGGAATCCCACTCAAGAACTGAATTTTATTTTACTGATTTATACACTCTATATAAGATAACCCTCATACCTAACAGTCAAGAATCAAGAAACTTCAGGTTTCTGAGTTAAATTATTTTTTAAAATATTATAATTTATATAAATTTTCAATTCTATTTATTTAAGTCAAACATCTTTGGAAACTGCTTATAGACAAAATCACAGTATATTCTAATCATCAACTATTGTTTATGAAAAATGGACGAATCTCAGAAAATGGTTCATATATTGGAAAATAGCTTCATAAACTGTCTAGACTCCGGTAGGCGAATTATGTATACTATGCCGCACAGCAAGCTATCAAAGACCAGTTGCACCGAACTATTTAGCTGGAGGAATCTCAGGATAGAAGATCAAAGGAATCTTGTCATTCTCTAAAATGTAAAGGAGCTCATACACTTTAATATAGGTGGAGCACCGGTCGATGTGTAGGGTTGGCTTTTCTCAATTTATGGTTGACAGAGCCCAAAATCTTTCATAAGAACCATGGTAAGATTCTGTTGGTATAGTCCGATTTCCATCATGATAAGCCAATAGTTTTTTTTTTTCTTTTTTGCTTATGCAGTTTTTTGACGATGAAAACAACCAACTATTTTTTTTTTAATTAAGGAGGTCTTCATAAATTGAAGTTTCTTTCAGCCAAACTCTTCCCTCAGGAGGCAAAATCCGACCTCTACCTCCTCGTGGTACCCCCTGAGCTATGTTTTCAGAGGTGGGATTGAGTAATGGCGGTATAACCATGGCTAGAGGAGATTACAAGACGAAGATGGCGACTCTTCTAGGGTTCTGACCCTAATATAAAGTTTCCTTGCCCTCCACGTTGGGGATATAACATTGCGCATCTCATTGTAAAAAAAAAAAAAAAACTAATTAACTTATATATTAAATTTAATTAATTTTTTGTTGCTTTGAACCTTATGATTTGCACCTTTCAACTGTATGTTGACAATCAGCAAGGTGATCTCTCATCCAGCATCTTTTTAGCCTCCTCATATTCAGCGGTATGCCAGCTGTTATCAATCATGTACCTGTCGTTGCGATGCAAATATTCAGCATCTCCTCTTCTTTATAATTAGCAATTATTTATAATTTATATTTCATATTATTAATTTCGCTTTGTTGATGTTTTCACTTTCGTCGTGTGAAGACGCGAACTCAGAATTATTGTATTCAAATTATCTTATATAAGTTATCAGATTGCTGTGCAACGGCGGTGCTGTGCAGAGGCGTCAGCCCGCTCGACCACCCCGCCCCCTCCATCGTGTGGTCTACAAGCACACACCTTAGTTTTTTTTCACTTTGTGGTATTGTTTCGAGCTATTTGAATTGTTGAAAAAAAAAAATCCATCTTCCCGCCATGAAGAAAACAAAAACTTTCTTTAGTGATTACCCTGTTTCAATAAAAAACTTAATCTTCTTGTACTTCAAGTATAATGCCATTAGGAGTCACTGACTTTCATTAAGACTATGATTCATAAAACTACATACTCCTTGAGGCGTGCAATTGAATTCCTCCTGAACCTCAACTAATAGCGAGGAATGGCACTCGGCTGGAGATACCCTATCCTGTTGCATCGGTACTAATTCCGCCGCTCCACCGCTGCATCCCCCCTCGAGATGAACCAGGAGATAGGGCAAGCGAGGCGAGTTGTTTATTGACAAAGGTTATGATAATTCTATCTGCTAGGGAGTCGGATATACAAACATAGAACTATAAATCTGTAGGAGCGGTGGTGAGGACGTGCTATATTGGAGTCGTGAAGGATAGATGGAGATAGAACCCTCCACGCACGACTGGCGCCCTCGGTTCCCACACCTCCATCCACACCCTGATGATTCTATTACCATCGGTCCATCGGTCCATCTTCTATCTACTTTGTAATTATCCCTCGACGATACCTCATCAACAACGCTCTTTTTCATTTTTCCCTTTAACACCTCTCCTTCGGCCTCAGCAAGTAATTGTTTAATCGTGTTTGGTTCGCTCTTACCAGTTAGTTGCATTGAAACTTATCTCCTAGAAATAAGTTTGATCCTTTCCAGTGATGGAGCTACGTGGGGGCTTTCGCCCCATTATACATATTTGTTACTGTGAGTGATCTAAGATAGATACGTAACAAGCACAGTATGTTCTATATTTATTTTCACTGACATATGTGTGTATCATATTGTAAACAATTCGAATCTTATTTATTAACGGAAATACACGTTTTAAGTTCCCCAGAGCCTAAACAACCAAGTCCCACAAAATGGTGTGTGTTGTTTTGGCTTTTTGGTAGGAGAAAATCTTTCATAAGAAGAAGTACAAAAAAAAAAAAAAAAAAAAAAAAGAAGCCACACAACAATTCCTACTTCTAAAAAACTTACTAAAAACAATTTCTCAATTCTTTTTCACCACACCGCGAAACTGCTGTCACGCATTATTTCTTAGGAGGCAGAAGGACTGCATGCCTACTTCTTCTCTGAAGTACTTATTTAAGCTAATTAGTCATTATCAGCTGGCCTCTCCTTTCTCGCTCCTCTGACTTTTGGAGAAGCTGTTGTACCATTTCCAGGAGTATGTTATCTCCAAAACAATTAGCCGGAATGTTCAGCAAGAAACGACTATGCTCTACGGCATAAAAACAAAAAGGTTGAAATAGTATCTACTAAGAATGACGGAGGATGAATGGAAAAAATTAACCTTATATATCAACCGATAGATAGGATAAAAAGTGAACAGCCTAAAAAGACACGGTTGCAGGATGTGGAAGAAAGCTACCAGAATGGCTACTAGAGCTATTCGAGAGGGAGACTGGCTAGACCGAAAGATATGACAAGAACTTTTAGGAACGACCAAAAAACTAACATAATTAACTGCCTCTCATTGTTAGTAGTCATAAAAAAGCCCGATATAAACTTTGAAAGAATTTGATTAAAGGAGAAACAAAGCAAATATGTTTTCTTAGGTTGAAAATAAATTTCCAGAAATAATAGTTAGAAGTAAATGTATAATATATAGCGCTGGAAAGCTGATAATTTTAGAAAAAATTAGTTCTAACGTAGAGAGTCATATATGGAAAAAATTTGTACATTATAAAATAGATCAAAATTATAAAATATAAAAGAGAATAAACAATAATTAATGTTTTCAGGCTTATTTTTTATAGTTGTTTCATGACACAGGCTTAGCTTTAGTGGCTGATATGCATACGTTATAATTTTTATATAATTTTTAGTTTAGACCAGGGCTTGAAATAAAATTTAACTTTTATTTTTCACTATAACGAATGAGGGCGATTTCCATATTTACATTTTTATTTTATTTTTTTTATTCTTTTTCTCGTATTGTAGATAATAAAACTATTCGTCAATATTTTGGTATTTCGGCATTTTTTTTTATTCGGCAAATCCCAAGCACAAAAGCCCTAGAAGCAGAATGGAATATTGTCTACTTTTTCATGTAGACTATAAATTGTGATTAAACAATATGAATTTTTGTTTATTATTTTCAATAATGAACTATTGTAAGCTGGAAAAAATAGGAGGGGTGGTAAAATTAGATTCCGACTAACTAGTTTATAAAATTTCCTGGAAAAAAAAGGAGGTTAAAATCGAACAATTTGGAACATAGATATGGTCTCTATATGTTTTTATACATTCTATTGCAAAGGTTGTATCATTTCTTTTGGATGTTGTTTGAATGAATGTTTTCCTAAAGTGATGCTATTTTTTTTATTGCAAATTACTAATGATGAAAAAAAAAGTTTAGGTTAATAATCGGAATCACCTTATATTTCATTTTCTTTGTCACAAGGAACGGCAATAGTTATTTTAGATGTATAATAGTTTGGAAATAATAAAGCACTGTGAAATAATTTGCAGCTTTTTTTTTTTTTAGTTTTCCAATTTATCTGTTATTAAGTCCTATGAAGTACAGTCACTGTTTTTTTTGTTTTGTTTTTTATTACAAATAATTTTCGGAGATCTTTTACTCAACTCACATGTAATATTTTCTTGCTTTAATCATTATATTCCCCAAAGAATAATATTACGAATCGCGAATAATCAAATTGTACATTTATATCCTAATTCAATTTTTTTTTTAATATACATAACGATTCCTTGACGACAGCTATTTGACCGTTATGAAAAGAGCTTGTTAACACGTGACGAATAATAAGTAAGTTCCTTTCCTCACCCCTGGAGCTCTGGAGGGGACGCGGCCATTTATTAACCGGTGATGAGTTAATTTTCGATAGTGACCATGATAATTAGTGCGCGTTTACTTTTTTCATCCCCCATGTTAATTACTACAGCCAGATAAGGGCGATGGTTGGGGTGAATTCCCACACCCTTAGCCAACGGCCCTAGACAAATATTGAACCGAACCCTTATCTCGGATCTCTTATTCACAGGAAGGTGGAGGGTGCCCTTAGATATAAAAAATAATCGATTCTAATTTAACTTATGTTAAGCTTGGATGAACTATTCGTTCGCGATTGAAGGTGATAACTAACCCCAACCTTTTTTATGTATCTTAATTATTTGGTATATAATTATACCCATTTATAGTGCATACAGATAATTATAAATGGCTCCTCCTATAATAAACTATATTTCTATTTAATATCCACAGTTAATTACCAATAGACATGAGATGGATGAGATAGTTTTATTTCAAATATATTATTATTTATAATGCTAACGCACAGATATTAAATTCGGTAGCTTAGATATAGAGAAATATGATTTCATTTTTAACATGTATGTATACGAGTATATCAAGATCAATGGCTAGAAATAATCCACCTGCAATTCACATACATGTCTTTTTTGTTAAATATTTATTTCACTATTAATGCATAATATTACTACTAATTATTTCAATATCATTTTATATCTTACATTATTGACACTTATGAAAAGTGGGGACTGAAAATTAATTTTAAAAATATAGAGCTCCTCGGCACTTCAACAATTTAACAAGCCGATTGAAAAAGTTGTTAAATCGTTAGACATGTTCCAACACCTGGGGTCAGTATTCAATAATGAAGAAATTACTATAATAATGTGATACAGAACTGAGAATCGGAGAAGGAAGAAAAGTGACAACAATGCTCACCGGCGCATAGTTTTCAAAACTTATAAAAGTTGCATTTTTTTTTCAGGCAAATTTTTATATTTCCTTATGAGCTTTGAAATAAGAGTTTGTAAAGAGGATTTAAGTACCTATGGGGCAAAAAAAAAGGAAAAACAACATTTTTAGGTATTTTCCAAACTAATGAAAATTTCAATTTTTTTTTTTTTTTTTATGCCATCATGTAGAAAATGTTATTCTGGGAAGAAAATATTATATTACTTTTTTGCGAAAAACCCTTCTGAAGAAAGCTATGATGGAAAAGAAATTTTAAAAAATGTGTAAATTTATGATTTTAAAATTGCAATATCTTTTAGGGGGGAGCGGGTTATAGAATGTGAATTATGTCGTACATAAAACCATGAACAAAACCCATCTAATTTCGTTAGGTTTTAGTTGTATTCGGCTGAGTTACCGTCGTTAAAAGTTTTTGTATTTATTAATCAACATAACTTTTAAATTTTTCACCTTCAAGCGCCATAATGTAAAAATTTGACATTTTCGTTAGTTTGAAAAGTACTAAAAATGTTCTTAACTTTTTTGCTCCATTAGGTACTTAAATTCTCTTTACAAACTTCATTTCAAAGCTCATATGGAGGAAATATAAAAATTTTGCCTGTAAGATCAAAATTCTGACTTTTAGAAGTTTTGACCACTTTAAAGCTGGAATATACAGCCTAGTCCAATAAGGCTGATATAAAAAGCTACATTCCATCCTAAAACATTATGTGCCTCCTAAGTATGGGTCATTAATGCCAGATGCTGGTGGCTAGCGGTGGAAATGAACTTATGGAGAAGAGCAGCTAAAACTTATAGAAGGGAAAGAATTCTAAAACTGATAAAGGCGAAAAACAACTTACTACCAGATAATGAAGAAACAATATGTCCAAAAAAAGGGATGGAACTGGAAGTAAAAGGAAACATATAGACCAAAGGTAAAATGGAAAAACGAGGTGGATGAAAGTCTGGGATCAGAGAAGAGCAAGGCATGGATCGAGAACTTTTGAAAATATTCTAAATGGCATTTAGATGAAGTAAAACCACAATAGTGGAAAATTTCTTAGTTCACTTTTATTCTAACTCCTCCCTACCCCTGCGCAGTGTGAGAATGCCTTTGTAGAACTTGGACCAAGTGTCCCTCTTCTATACCAGCTCTCCCCTCCTGTTCCAGTCCAGACTTTCCTTTCTGAACTTGCTTAATAATAATAAAAAAATATTTTTAAATTAAAATGCTTCTGGCGGTAGTGAAATGTACGAAGTGGCTGTGTGAACAAACTGGTTGAGCGGAAGAAAGAAAAATCTAGCTCAACTTAACACTGCTATAAACATGGTACTCAAGTTACAACACAATTCACCTAAAACAAAAATTATCACCCCATTTTATGGTAATTATCATAATCAACCAATTACCTTGATCCGTCCTTATTATAGATTTTTATCAGGGCTTAAAAGAAAGATACAAATATGATAAAACTATTACCGGAGTATAACGAATGACACACAATCGCAAACATAAATAGTAAAATGTAAAATATAAAAAAAAAATATATGAAGTTAGGATAAAAAAATATCTGGTACAGTTTTTTATTTATTTTTTTTTTTGGCTATAGGGAATGTATTTGAGCTAGTCCAATTTTTGTTGAAAATCAGCAAATGTACTGGAGATACAAGAAATAATGGCATGACAGGCATGGGGAAGGGAATTACTCAGCAGCTCCTCTTCCCTAACTTGTTTTAATTACTTAGGTTCTTTGAAGAAGGAGATCTCTCATCCAACGCATTTTTAGTCTCCTCCTCATATTCTGGAGTATGTCAGCTGTGACCATGCCTCATATTAGTGTGTTATTATGTCCGTGTAAATTAGTGTGAAATCGTTGTTAAGAAT